AAATTAAGATATATTTTGCTATATTTTATGAATATATAATATGTAAAACAAAACTATAGGGACAATTATTCATCTACACAAATAATTGATTTTACCAATAAACCTTTTTAATATATAATTTAAATTTAAAAAGAAAAGAAAGAAGGTCAAATTTTACTATCACTGCTTCTAAATATTACCCCTTTCTCCTTCTCTTCACTTCTTTGCTTCTTCTTGTGGTGCGGGTACTGCCGCTGCCGCTGCCACCGCCGGCGGCGGCGGCGGTGGTGGTGATATGCCTGCATCAATGCAGCTTCTGCATCTACTCTCAATCCATCCTTCAATTTCATGATCTCCTCCATTCCCATCGTAATGTCTTCCTCCACAGAGCCGTGCTATGAATCCTGCTATCACTCCGACGATGGTTATTATGGCCAGCACCACCACCAACGTCTCCATTGACCGGTGAGTTGAAGGGCTCTCCGCCACCTTCAACGGTGGCGCTTCCACTAGTGGCGGTAGCTGGTCATCGTTCCATCTTTCCACCCTCATCACTCTCAACACCATTTCCAAACAAATATTTGAGTGTGAGTGAGTGAGTGTGCGTGTGAAAGAGTGAGAGTTTTTAATGGGTGGATGGTTGATAAAAGGTGTTTGCCTGCCAGCCTTTAAGTCTTATATTACAGTCTACACCCCTTTACTTTTATGGGTTGGGTTCTGGTGAGAAGGAGAGTTAAGGTAAGAAACATAAGCAGCGATCTTCACCTTGGATGCATACTAGGATAAGATGCACCAGATCAATCGTTATATCAAGCACCATTCATGGCTGGGTTTGAGATCAGGGATGGACCCAAAAAAATTTTTTTCCAATGGTGACACCATTTAGCTATAAAAAACAAACATAGGAAAAAAATTCAAACGGTGACACTATTTGACCATAAGAAACAAATATATTAATTTTTTTCCAAACGGTGGCACAATTTGACTAAGAAAATGACATTAACAGGATTCGTACTCGGGTCTAGGGTGGACAAAACCTTGCAAACCAACTCTACCAAATAAAACTTGTTCTCATTGTATTTTCAAAATACATAAGATGATACACAACAAATTAATACGGTTGCACCTTTCATGAACTTAATTTTTTTTACTTTCGACGGAGGAATAATACGGTAGCACGTGCAAAGTTGGCACCACTGTAGGTCCGTCCATATTTGAGATTAAAGTTGATCAAGGGTCTAAATCCCTTCTAACACTTCTCATCTTAACTTTACTTCTTACATGATCCTACACTGTACTTTCATATGGTTAACAAAAACACTATTTTAGGTTCAAAAATTAATAAAAAACATTATTCAGTAATCTATTTTAAGAACCTTCGTTTTGATACCAAAGATTTCATATCTTAAATATTTACACCAACGTACGAAGTTGCACAAATTAGGAGTCAGACTAACTTTGCATTAATGCTATGTATTCCTCATACGTAAATTAGATACATAAATGTTTGAGATGTGATATCTGAGATGCCAAATATATATAAAGATTTTAGAAGTTGGTTAAAAAAATCCAGTAAATACGTTGTATTTTCAATGCAATTTTTCCATTTTTATTTTACATCACTGATTACAACGTGATTGATGACTTAAGTTACCATTAAGCGAAAAAGAGGCTTGTGGCTATGTAGGTTCACCTGTATTCCTGCAATGACTCCAGACCGTTTGTATTCTCCTGGAAGATTAGTCGATATGCATGAACTGATTATGTATCCGACTTGATTATGTCTGCAAATTTTGTTTTATATTGTAAAAATATAAAGTGCAGGGTAGAAAAATAAAATTATTGAAAAGTATAGGGACTAGAGTGCAACTTTTGATTCATGCTTCAATGCCCTGGATGGTGCCGTTTTATGAGGAATAGCCGGTACAGAAAGCAAAAAGCAAAAAGTTATTGATGGAAGAGAAACTCTCATTCGATAAATAAGGATTAAACTAGTTAAAAATAAGAAAAAAGTGAGGATGGTGGAAATTTTTGGGCGGCTGCCCGTTCCTAGAAAACGTCCGATAAAGAGAAAGAAAGCTGTTCCGAACAGAGGAAAAACCCTCCGAACCAGAAGAATTGTGTGAAATAAGTGAATTTATCCAGCTGAGCAGTTCTAGAGGAACGAGTTTGGGTGTGGGAGTAGACACTCTTGTAAAAAGCTTTAAGGTCGGTTCCCTACCTTATCAAAGGAAACAGATACTCTTTTTGCGCACTCAATTTCGGCAAACTTTTCCGTAATATTCGGCAATTTTTGAACTTACGTAGATGACTTTTGGCTGGTACAACCACTCGATTGTCCACTTCTAATAAACGTAATTGACCCAATTCTAGATCATCTTCTGGAATCGTATAACTGTCAAAATAAAGGCTTTGCAGCAAGCGGAGTTGTACCGAAATTCCATTTTCCGGGCATACGAGAAAAGAGTCCAGCCGAGCATATTTGTTTGCTAGTTTCTTGATCCCGGAAATCTTGTACTCAGAGTCACGGATAAAGTGGACTACCCAGCGACGGAGTGGATGACCCCCCGTTCTTTCT